ACGGACCACGACACTTAGCTAACGTTGCTTGCCTCTAATCTGATCTTTCCTTTTAATTAGCATTAGCAACCTTTGCATGAATTCCAACTAAGTGGTTTGGCTTCTAACAACCAGCATCAAAAATAAAATTTTAAATTTGAGCTGAGGGTTGGACAAATAAATTGTTCATGGCACTCCTTTTGGTGAAAAGGTCTGTATGTGAGCAAGCAGATATTGAGCAGGATATGATGGAATTTTATTGTTCCTTCTTGGACTTGTGGGCATGATTTCAAAAGACAACACTTATTGCCTGTCCAAGTGCTCTTGGATGAAGTGGTCTGTTTAGCTATTTCAGAAGGCAGTTAACAATTGAATCTGGAGTCTCATTTAGACCAGACCTGGGAAGGGCAAATGATTCCCTTCCCTAAAAGATGTTGGTGAATTAGATGGGTATCTAAAACAATCCAGCAGTTTTAATGGTCATTATTAATGACCCCTCTGCCCTTTTCATCAAGGTTTATTAATTAATTGAATCTACATCCACCCAGCTGCCGTGGTGTGATTTGAACTCTTCTCTTGACTGCTACTATGCTACTGAAAATAGAAATCAAAAAGCATAGCTACAGAACACTTTTGAGGAAGGGTCACTGGACCTGAAATGTTAACTGTTTTCTCCTTCACAGATGCTGCCAGACCTGCTGAGCTTTTCCAGCAACTTTGTTTTTGTACAAAAAGCTTCTGCTTTTAATCTTTAAAAGGAGGAAGAGAATTTTAGAAGCCAAGTGGTCACCCAGATTGAAATAATTGAGATTGAGGCCTATAATTTATGGGTGAAGATTTGACAAATAGGCTGTCCAGGGATTTGAACATAAAATGATTACAATGTGCTACAATGGTTTCTTGTGCATTGCAGTATTAATCTTTGCCAATTCTGTTTTGCATCACATGAAGACTCCTTTCTCACTACTTTCACTTCCTCCTGTGCACTCCAGAGCTTCTCTCCTTTATGGTGAAACCCCAATATAGTTGCTTCTGAGAAACCCCTTCACATACCACCGATTAGAATATATGCCCATTATCTCTACTGCTTATCTCATGCCACTTGAAGACTATTTACTAACATCTGCAATAAATTGCCTTTCAGTTCCATGAGCTTTAGCAATAGCTAACGGTCCTTGTCCAAGCCAACAGACTTGCACTTCTCTGATGATTTTTCTCTAAGTTCCCTATAAGTTACTTGGTCCCATCTTCAGAAAATTAAATCTAATTCATCAGGAATGGCACACCCTTTAAGGTTTTTAGCTCTAAACTTTAGCCTCACCACCTGTAATTAGGAAATTAAATGGTCTGCAAATCCTTGGTATTTCTACTTTTGACATGGAAAAATATCCTGTATTGTTAAAATCTGTTGCACCAGAGCTTGTTCTTTCGGTTAAGCTGTTTGCCAGATGGATGCCAGTATGATTGCATAAGCAATGTAGAGTATTGGCTGGTAACGTAACCACTAAAAGACTGGATAAATCTGGTCAGTTAGAAGCCTATTGTTGCCCTTTTGCGGTTAATGATTTAAATGGGTCTTCAGTATTGTTGTCATTGATGTTTTTGGGAGCTTGGCTGCCAAATCTGCTTAAATAAGCCACTGCATTGCAGTTCAAAGTAACAACGGATGGCATGATGATTTAAGGTGTAGTTAAGATGTTATTGAGAAAGGAAAAAGCTCCTTTTTTTTTTCTGCCAGATTACCACTTTAATGAACGTCTGGCTATGTTAATATTGAAATATTTTGAGTAAACGGCATTTGCTGTCTTACTAACATTCGGATGTAGCCTTCATGTACAAGATGCTTCGATTCCAGTGGATTGAGTTCTCATGAAGGCTACATATCTGAAATGTCAGAGCCTGGATTTATCTACCAGTGCTGACAGGTGGTATGTTTTTTTATAACCATTTGCAATTTTTTTCTTTTCTGTTTAATCTGAATATTTTGTCCACTGTTTTAATCAGTGAAACAGATCTCTTTAAAAAGTATCTGTAAGAAGTACTCACTCAATTTAGAAATGTCTGACTTGAGTCAGATCCCACATTAATATTAATCTTACGATCTGACATGTGAATATTTATTATTATACTTGTAGCTGTTCTGACATTTGTATAAATTGACTTACAAACTCATTCTGGAATGAAATCTTTCATAATCTGGGGACTGCCTGTACTTAATCTATTTTGCTTGTACTTGCAAAGTAATATTTTCATCTTGCCTTTTTATCCCCTTGCGGTTCCTACTCTAACCATGTTTTGGCTAATATTTTCTCAGGCTACATAATGGCTCATCTCAACATTAAGATCAGTCCTACTTGTTCCATGCACTTCCTCCAGTATAAAAACAAAAACATTCTTTTGAAAACTGGACTTTAATCCCACCCCTCCCACGATAATGTGCATATCCCGAATTGACCTAGTACACTTGATCTAGCACTTTAATCACTTCTACATGAACTTAAAGATCCTGTATATTTTGTCTTTCAAGGGCACAGCTTGAAAATGAAAAGAAGAAGCGAGCAATGGCAGAAAAGGAAAAAGAGAGGATAGAACAAGAGAAGGAGGAGCTAATGGAAAGACTTAAACAAATTGAAGAACAAACTGCCAAGGCTCAGAAAGGTAATGGTTTAAATCTGCAGTCCTTTCGGTTTTTAATGGTTTAAATCATTTGTGCAATGTGGTATACACAAGGTAACATCCATTTATGTAGTTTATTCCATCTTCTGTAGAACTAAAGAGGTTAGCAGGCAGCTTTCAGACTGTTGTTAATTTTAAAGATGACAGTCATCACTTCTTTAAATCACTGCTTTTGTCAGTGCTGTTCTGATTCACATTTTTTAGAAAAAAAACACTTAATTCAACCTTGTGGTTTAGCAGTCTTAAGATTCTGCCTTGCATATTATCAATCCCTTTGGAAAAGTTAAGCCAAATAATGGGTTGCCACAAATTCAATCAACTTAAATTTGTACAGAGTCAGGTGCAGAAAACAGGTCCTTTTTTTTGTTGCACTAAACTGATTTTCTACAGTAAGATGGTGGTTAGTTCCTTCAACACAAATGGCATTTGAAGAACACAAAATACTCTGAGCCAAATGCACAACCTTGCCTAAATATGAAAGAGACTATGGTACTCTACTTGCCACTCTTTTGAGATATGAATTTTCAATCATGAAAATTGTAGATGCATTGTACTGAGCATCACTGGATTGATCTTGGTCAAATTTGGAATGCAGTTCCTTTTGAACAAGAGAGCCAACATGATGCTGATTTGCATATAGCTGTCAGCAGATTGAGATTGTAACCTCACTATATTGAGATATATTGAATTGACTGGTGTTAGTATATAGAAGCATATTTTACATTTTTGCGTGAAGACAAGATTCCTCAAATAACTCTGCCAGTTATCTAGTTGTGCCAATGATCTCTGCAGTAAATGTTTTTGTTCCTGTGCTTGAACTATTTGACTCAATGTCCACGCACTTTCTGGGCAAGATAATCTAGAGGACTGGTATTTAACAAAACACACAATAAAAATAAACCACTTTAGCCAGATCATCTATCCAATTGTGTTGAAGGGACCATGAGTTTCTGTCCTGCATGTTGTAGTCATGCTTTGCATCTTGTCAGTTAGCAACCAGCTAGTTGATGTAATTTTAGCCTATGCAAGTTGCATAACTTAAAAATTGTTAAACCACTAACAAATCCTTTTGTGTACAAGCTTATAGACATTTTGACATTTTTACTTTTATAGAGTTTTTTTTAAAATTAAAATGTTTCCAACAGAGTTAGAAGATCAAACACGTAGAGCTTTAGAACTTGAGCAGGAAAGGAGAAGAGCTAAAGAAGATGCGGAGAGACTAGAAAAAGAACGTCGCGTTGCAGAAGAGGCAAAAGCTGCCTTGGCCAGACAGGCTGAAGATCAGATGAAGAATCAAGAACATCTGGTAGGAAGCTCATTTGTCTTTGTTCATTCTAAACCAGCCAACTGGAAAGTCACTTCTCAAGAATTTGTCAGCACATTCTGATGGCTCTGCTGATTCTGAAAGTCTGGCATCTCTGTACAGAAAAGTGAAGATTAATTGTAAAATCCATACTTGCTGATGAGAAGACTTTCTACCTGTCTTAAGTTTCCCTAAATGGGATTGGAACAGGAGTACATGCTATAAAACAGCATCTTCTGAAATTTGTGACTCAGGATGTATTGTGGATATAGTATCCTCTCCTTTGCTCCTATTCTGACCTCCCTGGTAAATTATACTTCTCCTAACTAAGCTTTGGATTTCCTATGTTTGAGCATTTCAAAAACAGTGGATAACAAATTAGCTTCAAGGCCTGCTGTCTCTACAGGTTGTAGAGGCAGAAAATGCCTAACATTTAAACGTTTAGATATACGTGTGATGCTGAGGCAGACCAGGCTAATGTTGGTAAATAGGATTAAATCAGTTTTGTTTCTGACTGGCACAGATGCAGTGGAGTGAAGGGCCTTTTTTTTGTGCTGTAGACCTGACTCAGAGTTTGTTGCTGTAAATGTGATTATACCTTTTTTAAAAAACTGAAATTTTAAATTTGGCATTAGAAGTTTTGCAAAATAACCTTGTGTTTGTGGTCTAAGACAACTGATTACTAATGTGCATAGCCAACTTACTGCAATGCAACAGTCTCGACCAACTCATCAACCTCCCCACCCCACTACCAAAATTCTCTCATCTAAGAACCTGTAGATGTTACTGATTTTTTACGAATTAACACTAGATTCTGGAAAGTAGGAAGTATAACTGCTGTTCAACAAGGGGCAGATGCAGAAAATTATGGGCCACTTAGCTTGACATCTGTCATGGGGAAGGTGTTACAATTGGTCATAAGGAGGTTATAGCTCAGCACCTTTTAAAATAAAAAGCAGGGATAATCTGAAAGATTGAGCATAGTTTTGTGAAGAAATTGTATTTAGTCCTTTTTGAAAGAGTAACATATGCAGAGGATAAATAGGGAGCCTGCCGATGTTCTGGACTTGGATTTCCAGAGGCATTTGATAAGGTGCCACATCAAAGGTTATTGTTCAAAATAGTGTGGGGTAGAGGATAGCATATTACCATGGATAAAAGATTGGCAGAAAAGTTTTCACAAATTGGGGTCTTTTCTGGTTGGCAGAATGTGTTAGAGTCCTGCTGGCATCTCAACCTTTCTACAAGTTACATCAATGACTTGAATGAAGAATATGAAGGCAGACGTAATAGATACTTACTTTCATGTCATTACAAAATGTTGGTCTTGTGAAGAGGGCAGAATACTAGCTGAGTACGATGTGGAAAATGTGAAACTGCTCACTTTGATAGGCAATGCTGTTTTTAATGCTTCCTAAATGGTGAATGATAATTCAAAACTACACAGATTTGGGTGTTCTGACGGATGAGTTGCAGGCAGTTACTTTGCAGGTATAGCACGTGAAGGCTGCTTGTCCTTGAGAGGACTGATCAAAAGTAAGGATGTTATGATTCAGTTATACAATGCATTGATCTAGTCTTGATACAGTGTGCAATTTCGGAGGATTGTAAATACATTGGAAATGGTTCAGAGGAGCGTTACTAGATTGGTCTCTAGAATGAGGTGGGTTGTCTTGAGGAATGGTTTGACAGACTGGCTTTGTTTCCAGTGGAACCTGGGAGTGAGGGGTAACTTGATTGAAGGGAAAGATTCTGAATGGTCTTGACCAGGTAGATGTTTCCACTTGAGTCCAGAACTAGGGCAATTGTTAAAATTAAGAGCTACCTTTTTAGAAATAAGAAATCTTTTGAGGGTTGAGATTCTTGGCATATACTTTCTCTATCAGAACATAGTGAGACAGGGTCACTGAATATTTTTAGGAAGAAGTAGATTGGTTCCCTTGCCTAACAAATCTAAGGTTACTAGGAATAGATGCCATGATTCTAATGGAATAGCAAAGCAAGTTTTAAGGGGCCAAATGGCATACTTTTTCCTAACACTCGGATTTTTAACCCACCTACTCATTAGTGTTATGCGAGCCCTTTAGTAGTGCAAGAAGTAACTTAGCTAAGTGCAAGACTTTCACGAAATCATTTTAAATGGAGTGGGGCAGTGATTAGATTCTTTCAGAAAGGGAATCATTTGGAAATTGGGATACAGTAGACTTGGACTAGTTTTTGTTGGTGTGGACTCAATGGGCCGAGGGGTCGGATCTGTACTATGATTCTATGCACGAAGTGTAGGAGAAGAATAAGGGGAGTGGCAAGAGGAAAGAACAAAAGTCATAAAACACTTGGGTATCTTTTTCTTTGAAATGAAATGCCCAAATCCCAAATATTGGGTTGGGATGGAGGCATGGTATAGCCCCTCTTCATGCTTTCCTCATTCCTGTACTGTCCACATCATCGCCCTCCCAAAATTAAAATGAACCTTCCTCAACCTTTTTTTAATTGCACTCATTTTCAGAATTTTCCAGAACTGGTACATGTAGGACCAAGTCCAGGAAATGCCAGTGTTGGCACTTCTTTTAGCCTTTGCTTAAAATATTGCTTTGAAAATTTTATGAATGGGGGAATCTCTGCAAAATCTCTACAAAAATCTCTGCAAGATTTGTGAAGAGCATGGAAAAGACAAACTGTGTCTTAAACTCCAGAAAGAAGGAAATGGGAAGATAGAGTGGTAATTTTAAAATTTGCATATCAGCTTATCTGACTTTTTAAAAAGACTTGTGTATGTTAAAGGCTGAGAGAGATTCTTGATTAGGGGAATCGAGAGTTGGGAAAGGGTAGGAAGGTAGACATGTTGGATTAGCCATGATCCTATTGAATAGCAGAACAGGCTCATGGGCTGAACAGCCTATTTACTGTTCCTGTTTATGATCTTATCACTTCACTGTAAAGCCAAGTTTTTGTAAAACAAAAATTCAGATTTTTGCCCTTAAATTTCTCTGAAGCAGTGTAAAAGTCTGCCCTCTGAATCGGGTTCTGGAGGAAAGTTAGTTATGTGCAAAAACAAATTTGAAGTACCTTTTAGGTGTACTGCCCATGTTTCTGAAATGGGCTAAAAGTTACTGAACCCCATTATCAGCTTCTAGCTGTTCCTTCAGTGGTTCCAGATTTTTAATTGGCTTTTGATTTGCAATTTGTGTACTTTTTTCCCCTATAGTGATTCCTCGTGATGCCATTTTTAGGATTTTTTTTGCTGTTTTTATCCGCCTGTAGAGCTGTACCCTTGAGTTAGACTATTTTTAGATGTTCGTCAGCATAGAGAACAATTCAGCTTGTCTGTGCCAGTTTCAGAAATGCAGAACTATTCCTGTTCTCCAGATTCTTCTAGCATTTTCCTCTGCCTCAAATATTTGACTAATTTTCCCTGCATTTAGAAAAGGATGTTTGTGCCTCACTCCCTTCTGAAGTGTTCCTTTTTTTAAAAAAAACTAACCATTTCCCCTTCACAGTTTTTAAATGAATAATTTCACAATTTATAGTCTTGCACTTCAATGTTAAATTTCTGCTAGTGTGGAGGTATTTGCATGGAATTGCTAAAGATACTAGGACTGTCATTTTTTCTTTTACTTGTACTACCCTGTTGAATGCACATTCTTTGCTTCAATGCCCTTTTTATAAACAGGATGGTGAAAACTGATTTTTACACTAAAGTATGGCCTTTTATATTGCTTTATAAAAATTACTGCTTTACCACACTGGTTCATAAAATCAATGTGACCGGTGTGTTTTATGCTTAATTGTCTGCAAGATACTACAGATAATGAATTTGGATTTGATAATAGAATGGAATGACTATCTGCTCCTTTTTTTAAAATATTTTTTGGTCAAGAAAAGGGGGGGAAATATACAAAAAATTGCCTCAAGCTTTCTGTTTAGTGTTTAAGGCTAAGATGTCAAAAGGTGTTTCTCAGAAACACTTGGAGAAAAATTGACAAATCAAATGGAATATTGGGATAGCTTCAAACAAAACTTCAGGTGGCCACTGTGGCTGAAATGCGTGTCCATCATAGACCTACCTTGTACATGGGTGATGAAAGCTAGATGTCTTGCCTCTATTTCACGTGGTGGTTGTCCTTAAAGAAGACCACCTATTGTGCCATACATCATTAAAATTTCTGTCTTAAATGTAAACAGAATAACCTTTTCATTCATTAACCCACTGATTTCTTCCTGAGATGAAGGCCTTCTCTTAAAGCTTAGACATAGAACATAGAACGTTACAGCGCAGTACAGGCCCTTCGGCCCTCGATGGTTTCACAGGTCGGTGCAACAATCTAAGCCCATCTAACCTACACTGTTCCATTATCATCCATATGTTTATCCAATGACCATTTAAATGCCCTTAAAGTTGGTGAGTCTACTACTGTTGCAGGCAGGGCATTCCACGCCCTTACTACTCTGAGTCAAGAACCTACCTCTGACGTGTGTCCTATATCTATCACCCCTCAATTTAAAGCTATGTCCCCTCGTGCTAGCCATCACCATCCGAGGAAGAAGGCTCCCACTGTCCACCCTATCTAATCCTCTGATCATCTTGTATGTCTCTATTAAGTCACCTCTTAACCACCTTCTCTCTAATGAAAACAGCCTCAAGTCCCTCAGCCTTTCCTCAAAGACCTTCCCTCCATACCAGGCAACATCCTGGTAAATCTCCTCTGCACCCTTTCCAATGCTTCCACGTCCTTCCTATAATGCAGCGACCAGAACTGTACGCAATACTCCAAGTGCGGCCGCACCAGAGTTTCTTGTACAGCTGCAACGTGACCTCATGGCTCCGAAACTCAATCCCTCTACCAATAAAACCTAACACACCGTACGCCTTCTTAATGACCCTATCAACCTGGGTGGCAACTTTCAGTGATCTATGCACATGGACACGGATCCCTCTGCTCATCCACACTACCAAGAATCTTACCATTAGCCCAGTACTCTGTATTCCTGTTACTCCTTCCAAA